GTCAGTTTTCCGCATCGTCAGGGTAGTGCCTGGTAAGGCATGCTGCTGAGAAAACAAGTGAATTGCTGAGAGAACTTATCAAAAACAGAGAATAAGGAGTAGAAAGTGGTGAACCTGACTCTTGAGTTCGGTTAACCCTATCCGTACGTCGTGCAGTGTTTTACTATTGTATCCATACGACGTGGGGAACTCTGTGCCACCACTTTCCAAAGAAGAAATTTACTTGTTAATCCGATTCGTGCGCTTTGAATAGTCGTCTGTCAAAATTATTTTTGGGGAAATACTGAAAGTTTCAAAGAGACCTTCGCACAACTAGAAGTATTCTAAAATGTGAATAACACAACCCTTGGGGTACAAAATGACCCCAGGGCGTACGAATAGGGTTAAGATCGATCAAGTGAAGGGGAGACTGAATGCTCAATTCAGTCTGAGCCAACACCCGACAGCCCTGCTGCCGCTGCCACGCCCACCACAACAACAGTGTCAAGTAGCCGACAACAATACGAAAACAAAGAGTGAGTTTGCCTTTGTGCCTGGCCCCAGTAGATTTAGCACTACTGACATAGGGATTACTTCAGAACAGAGCCCATGTATACCACTCCATTCTACCCAGCAAACAATAGAGAGGGACAGCTTCCTCACTATTTTGCAGAAAAAGCAGCACATTGGAGAGCCACTCGGTGAGGGGAAGTAAAAAAATCAAACCTTTTGTCGACGAATTGTGTGAGCAGTTCGAGTTCACGTTTCAACCTGGGAAGGACCTATCAATCGATAAAATGATAAGATGGGAGAGAAGGTGGAAATACAAGCAATATGGTGCCTCCAGGCCACTCAAATATCATATCAAGAGTTTTTACCTTGTGAATATTACTACAGCCTCTATAGTGAATCTCCTGACTTACTACAGGTCAGAAACATCGTACGACCCATGGCAGGACAGAGACGCCTAAGGCTCAACATCTGACGGGATATTCCAGACACTGTAAAAGGCCATAGACACCGGCCACCATCTTTTTTTTCGACAGATGGTACACCACACGCAAGTTAGATGACAGAATGCTGGTGACGGGGCAATATGTTACCAGCACCTTGCAGGTCAACAGAGTCGGCTTTCCTGCCGAACTGAAAGAAAACTCTCGGCCCGAAGCATATTATGGAATCAAGGTTCTCTGTCAGCCCAGACAAAACCATCATAGCTGGGGCTTGGAAGGACAAAATAGCCTGTGCTCTTCGTCACCATGGGTCAGCTGACTTGTCGTAGTCAAGGAGACAGAGAAACCCAGCATCATCCACAGCTACAAAACCAGCATGAACGGATGCGATAAAATGGACCAGATACTGGGTTACTACAGGTTTTACTCCAGAAGATTCCACAAATGGTTGGAGAAGATTTTCTTCTGGATGATAGAAATTGTGCAAATTCTAAGTTTTGTACTCTCTCAAAGCCAAAGAAATGTTCTTTGAAAGCTTTCAAAGAGGAACTCATCCACGATCTGCTCGCCAAAGCAGCTGAAGTGATGCCTACAGAGAGCACAGCTCCCCGAAAAGGAGGTTGTATGTGTATAGACACCTCACTGTAAAGGCAACAGGGTGGAAAGCATCTTCTAGTTCATCACGAGCGAGCGGGCTCGTCACTGCAAATGGTGCAGCCGCCCAAATGAAGTGCAACACACACACTTTTATTGCTCAGGTTGCACAAGCCAACCACAATTGCACGCCAAGGAACGCTTTCTGCGGTACCACAAAGAGAAGAAATTGGCTTGCTCCCAAGTGAATCTAAATTTCCCTTGTAAATAGGACATTGAACAAAGTGTGGTTGTAGGAACTGCATTCCACTTTTTCCTTCATTCTTGTTCAATTGTTCTTTCTTATATGTGTTTGAATTTTGATGTCCCCTTCCCTTCCATGCCTTTCCTTATCCTGTTGGTGGATGATGATGTCATTGCAAAGTGGGTTGATCAAACCAATCTTTACGCAGCTTGGTTCAAAGACAGGGACTATGTTACTATCAATGAAATGAAGACATTTTTAGCGCTGCTCAAGACCACTGGTTAATTTAATAAACCTGATATTGTAAAATACTGGAGTACAGATGAACTTATTACAACTCCACTCTGGCAAAAACATGTCCCTGAAGCGTTTTCAAAATATTCTTTGGAATTTGCATATTGAAGACAACAATGAGGATGATAGGTCACTCTTTGTTCCAAGTGAGGAATTTCCTAAAACATCTCAAATACACATTTACAGGTGTTTATGCTCCCTCACGGGATATCAGTTTTGATGAGGCAACATGCCCCTGGAAAGGAAGGCTGAGATTTAAAGTTTACAACCCTGCTAAACCTCCCAAATTTGAAATTAGAATTTACAAGGTGAGTGAAGCCGACTCAGGTTACATTTTTGGCATGTGAGGCTCAACAAAGGCCTTCAAATCAAGGACTACTTTTCGACACATGTTGTTACGAAGGAATCCTTGTGTTCTCAACTCTTCAGCAAGGAGAGTTTTGAGACTCTGTTTAGCACAATGCTGCTTGTTGCTGAACCCGATGCCCAAGGACATCAAAACCCTCAACATGACACTTGGAAACAGTACTGGGCTACGGATGATGACAAAATAATAGGCATGGGCTGGAAAGACAAAAGAGGCAAAGAAGCCTGTCATCCTTGTGTCTACAAATATAGCGCCTGCAGACATGGACACTATGGTCCGCACAACCAAAAGTCCAGAAAATGGTGGAAGAAATTGTTTTATTGACTGCACGAGATAAGCACGGTCAATGCACACAAACTATGTTTAGACAAGACTAGAGGACGCACCCCGCGCAAGTCTCAGTCTGCGGGTGTTCAAGCTCAATTTAGCAGAGGAATAGAGTATTGGCATTGGTCTGCACATTTCACTCTCCCCATTTCCCCTGCCAACCCAAATGGAGGTCCACCCTGCCCATCTCATCCTGTTGAGAGGCTTGAATACACTAAGCACATGATTGCCTCCATCCAAAATGAGACGGTGTTAAGTTTGCTGCAAACCAGCTTAGAAAAAGCGAACATTTGGTATCTCTTCTTGGCAACAAAAAGTTTGTTTATGTTTGGAGTAAGATTCTGTGTTATGAAGATTCTCAGGACGGAATACTGGTACCTCAGATTCTCTCGAGGGCCAGACATAATTTTTCGTCTGGCCAGATACAGTCCGCAGACCTTGTGTTTGACACCGGTGGCCTAACCTTTTCCTAAATGATCAAATATTTACAAAATCACGAAAAAAACAACAAATAAAAGTAATGTTTCTAATTATCGGGGGTAGGCTAGGTCAGCAAATATACACAATCGACAGTAGACGCCATTTAAAAAATTAGCAAAATAGTCAGTTTATCACATGAATTTGAAACAATTCTCAAAACAGCCGAGTGTACAGTTGCAATGAAAAGTGGTCTTAAACAAGATGAAGAAGCAATCCAGACTATGAAGTTAAACGAAAGTCGATCCCACTATTAAGTCTGAAAACCTTGCGTCTAGTCTGTCCAAAAAGTTTAAAGGAGAGCGCAAGGTGTCTCAAGTTGAAACAATTGTGAATTCAGGTATTGACAGAGCACAGTATAAAAAGGCAAAGTCTGAGATTCTCAAACATAACAAAATTTGATCTATAATTATAGAAAAGAACATATATAGCCGTACCCCAGTATGTCACTCATGCTCTCTACTGGCCCAAGAAATTCTATATACAGCAGTTCTCATACGACAGAACTGGACATTCTTCCCACCTCCAGTAAGACAAAAACAAAACTGCTTGGCGCCTAATACCATAAATGCAATCAGTGACATCTATACAGAATCAGAACATTCACATCACAGATGGGGGGGGTGCCATACTGGCTTGTGAACTTTGAAATCAAACTTGTGAACAGATGCGTTATATGGGCGTGGGTAACTATCCACGAACAGTATGTACAACAAAATATAGTTTCTGTGATGACGGGTCACAGTGAGGGACGAGGAGAAAGTGAGGAGAGTAAAGAGCTCCAGTCTCAGAGTACAATTCAGGACTCTCTGGACCAAACTCCGATAATCACAGATACTTTGAACCGAATGAAGGAGCAAAAAAAAAAGCATAAGATTATGCCTCATTCTCATGATCTTACAGTCTGAGCAGCACATCACTATACAGTACAGGACCAATACTGATACAAAAATAAATTACTCACTTCTGCACTCGCCTTAGAAGACCTCACCTTTGCAAACAGGCCAATTTGGGGGTCTTACTACAGTGGAGCCAATTCCAGTGTAAGTAACAACATCCCCTCACCCCCAAAAAAAAGAACCACCTATAAAACTGTTAGGGTTAGGCTAAATAAGTAAAAATGAAAATCAAAAGAACAAATTGAGGACCACTGATTCAATTTCTGAGGCCGGGAAGTGACTCATTTCAATTATGATGGAAACACTATTATGTTTCTAATGCAACAAAAAACAATTCACTGGGAATAGAAGTGCTTACAGGAAAGCTGTCCAGTATATTTGTTCGGTATAGGTAAACAAAAACTTCATTATAACTTAGTTATGAAAGTCATCACTGATTCACTAAAACAATTTTCTCTTAACCCTCCAAGCCTCGCTAACAAATAGCCTGGGGTGTCAAAGGAAATTATATGATTTTACCATATGTGAGGCAGCGTGGTGGAATCAGGCTCTCGTCAAAATAATCAAAATAAAGAAACCTGCATTTTTCCACAGGTTTGTGAATTTTTATCAAATTTTTGTTTTTTGGCTCAACACCTTTCATGCTCAATAAAGAACTCATTTTTGTGTGGATTTTTCAGAAAAATGTTGATTAAAGGCACAAAAATGTAAATTTTCAGTTACCAAGGACTTTTAAGCTGAATTAATAACTAATCTTTGGCGGCCCCCACCTCCTTCATTCACAAATATCTCGACTTGTATTAAAAATAAATGGATATTTTTTTCATCCAAATAAAGACAAGTGAACAAGCGTTAAGATGATACCAATAACTCTCCACGCCTAAAAACTGACGAGAGCCTGATTCCCTCACGCTGCCTCACATATTATGTTTTAGAATACTTAAGAACAGGCAAACCAAGTAAGTAAAGGCCATAAACTAATATTTATATTTAGAAGGTAAAAGGAAAACAAGAAAAAGAGCACATTCCTGAAAGAGTTCAAATGCTTGGAGATATAAAAAATGGGATGAACCTAAAAAAATAGCAACTCAAATTACAGCTGAATTAATTGGCCGTGACACCACAGAACGGAACTCATGATTGATATAATCGGCCGTCGACACTTGGAGGGTTAATAACATCGGGAAAAAAAACTGCGACAAAAGTCTAAATTACTGCCTTTGCAAAATATTTCTTCTTTTCCAAAGTAAAGCAGCTACCGGCAATCACTGCAATGCTAAAAAAAATACTTTCACTTTAAAAAGAGAGAGGGAAAAGCTTTCTATAACCCAGGTACAGAAATTCTCACTGCTCCAGCGGGATATCAGGAGCATTCAGCAGGCCTGCCCAGGCTGCCTTGTCCTTCCGCATGAACAGCGTGATGCCGGCTTTGTATGAGGCGGGAATGCTCACATGGGAGGTAACCTGAAGGCGATATCCCGGCACAGTGGGCAGGTTGAACTCTCTTAGCACATTCACTACCTGACCTGTGAGGCGGAAAAAAATGTGAATGCTTTAACAGCAGACAACAATGAAAGAAGCAGAAAAAAATCTGGATTAAGTGGGAAAAGAAAAATATATCTTGAAGACACACAATTGTTTGCTTTCATTTTAGTAACAATGCAATACCCTACTAGACACATAAATCATGATCTGACTGGGTTGGAAATATATAAAAGGATTTACCTGATAACTGGAAAACAAAGCATTCAAAAACAGAAAATTGACAGTCTATCGCTAAAAAAAAACAAGAGAACATTATTTCACAAAATTATAATTTCCAGCTGAGTATGAAGTGGCCACAAACCAGGAAAAGCTTTTACTTGACAAAAATCCAAATGTGTTCAAAAACTTAACCAAAAAAGTCCGGTCAAAATGTAAACATTATTCACAACTCACCCAGGACGTTCATGGTCCTCCACCTTGGGTCTGAGTGGGAGAGCAACTTGCGCAAATCAGCACTCTCTCTGAAGCGAGAGATGACATCTTGGCGCCTGACCATCAGGACAGAGTCGCTGCACAGTTGGCGCATTGCTGATCGTTCAGAGACTATCTCCAGTGGGTTGGTCAGATAGAGTCCTAAATAAGTGTTGAAATATATTGTCACCCTTCAAGCGCTCTTTCTTCCTTGCAAAATAACAAGACCAATTACCAGCATAACTAATCAGTCCTCATGACTGAGTTTTTCATGCACCTACAATCTCATATAATGGTAAATTGTCAAACTTACTGAATCATGAGAATTGAATGGGCCTCCGTCTGAAATTAATTCCTGTCCAAAAAAAAACAACTGAAGCTACTCTATTCAGTAAGCCTATAAATATTAATAGCACCTTTGAGAACAGCACATGACTGACTGTCAGGCAAAAGATAATTTTAAGTTTTATGCAGATAAACCAGTCAAGTGCGTCAAATCAACTGCACTGTGAGATGAAAATCTTACAGTCAGTTACTCCCTCATTTTTAGCAAGAGTATAAGAAGAAATAATGACAAAATGACAAAAACATTAAAAATATTTCAACAAAATGACCCACAAAACTAAGAGAAAGCGTAGGCAAATCACTTATTAAGATCTTTGAGAGAGCATGGCAAAATATGAAAACAAGAAAACTTTTCCGCATTCCCAACTTAGTTAAATTCAACAGACCAGCAAACAAATGTTATTCCAGATAATAACTCACCCTGCGGACTGACTCCATAGACCATCTGATGATGCCATGAGTCTGGGACTTGCCATAATGAGTGAGGGCCTTGCTGGAGGTTCAGTGTTGCCATAGGGATTGCACCTGAGATAAAAAAATAGCAGACATAGGTCAGAATAAACAAAAAAATGAGTGCTCAAAGTCCCAAGATTCAGAAAACAACAAAGTGGAGTTGAGACGTGTAGAGTGTGTGCTTGTGTGTACATTCTTAGCAACTTATACTATTACTACTGAAAATATAATGCATTATTAAAAAACGGTTTGCAGAAATTGGCAAAAATGGCATGAGGTTATCAGAAAAGTATAGGACACTACACCAAGTGATGAAAGTGGGCCATGCACACAAAACCTGTTTCACTGTGGAGTAAAGTACCTACAGCCAGTAATCCCACAGAAATAGCAAGGGAACCCAGAAGAAAAATAAGCACACAAAGCCAAGAGGACAAATACGCAATTTCTACAAATCCATAGAAAGCTACGACTCTTGACAAAATGAAAAAAAAGTAAGAACAAAGACTAAGTTTTTATTAAGGATTTTTTAAATTTTTTTTTGGGGGGGGGTGTTGGGGGGGGGGAGGCTTTGCTTCAAGATTTACAGCCAATCTGGGGCACAATACAGTTGATTTCTGAACAAAAGCATGAATAATTTAATAAAATACCTCTGTTCATCCAGTAAGCCAGCCACTGCAAGAGCTTCACTTTCCTAGGAGGCCAGAAGTGAAAGAACCGACCTCCTACTTCTCCCTGGCTCAGTTGCTCCACACCAGCCATGAGCTCTTCTGCTGTGGTACCTGAAAACCATAGAATACCACACGTATTATTTCCAGAAAACTGACTAATCATAATGACACATTAAAAAAGTATTTTAGCATTCAAATATACTTGTTTCATAATTCATTTTTTGTAGCCACTAGAAAAAGGTTAACCGAATAATAGAGAAAGAAAGGACAACATTGCAAAAACTTTCCTCTCCTCAGTCAAAAGCTTAGGCAACTGAATACAGTACCAATGCCTTACAGAACCTAAGTCTATTCTTTTGTCGAATGCAGATCTAGTAATTTTTGCATTATGCTCATTGATATGGACAACTGACAAAATCAAATTATTTTTGTACTTCTGTAACCGACATATCTCAATTTGTATTTTTTCAGATAACTATTGCCTTGTACTTTAAGTTAATAAAAAACGCTCAGTTTTATTTTTCTGGTAGAACATTCAGCTCCTTGAACCATGGAACCACATTTCAGCTGCACTGATTTAGTCTCATTTCAATTTTGTCAGAGTCCAGGTTCCTGACCCATACAACAATTTAGGCCAGATTAGGGCCTTGACAATTCTAATTCTCAAATCTTTAGGTTCGCCACTGCCTTTCCAAATATTGAACCATTGCTCCTTAGTTAGATCTGGAGTCAAAAACCTATATATTCGAAATTCAGAACAAGTCCAAACCTATTCCACTGACTTTGATATTTTGAGGAGTGTTGTAATCACTCTGGTCGTGGGAAAAAGTTGATAATAAAAAAATAAAAAGTAGAATGAAGGTACAACTTCACAGTACCCAATAACCACCTGATGGAACAAACAACAACCAAACCAACTGCAAATGAACTAACACATGTAGACAACACAAGAGTGTCCCTTCCAAACTCACATTCTGTACAAAAAATTGGAGACAGTTACAAATCGATGTCACCTTCAGAATCTTGTGACAAAAGGTTGAAGATGACTACATAAAAATAGAAATCCCCACAGGGCTGCCAAAAATGTGACATTATGAGGAGCAAACTGATCAGGCTCAATATCAGTTACATGATGGGAGCAGAAGACCTCAAACCTGCACAAGCTCTTGAAAACAAATATTCCGGGATGCAAGCATCTTCTTTCCGTAGACTTGTCTTGATTATTTTGCACACAGAGGCCTTTTCACAGGGAATATTGAGAGCTTTCTGAAAACACACACAATGGCAATGAACATGTCAGTAAATACACAATGTAATATTTGAGGCAGGGGACATATATTGTCATTTTCAAAGCCCATCACCATCAATATAAAATAGTTTCTATCCATTTTCACACATCCAGAATTAATTTAATTTCACGAAAAAAGATTTGCATTTCTGTAAAAGCCATTATCCCAATTTACAAAAACATAATTTATGGATGCAAACTCCGGGGATCTGTACTTCCAATATTCATGGAATAACCATCACCTTCAATTTCACTTTAAAAATAGCTCTCCACAAAGTGGCAACCAGAAAAAAAATTGTATTCTCCACAACTCGACAAATTTGACACCACAAATCCTCCCTAAATAAAATTGTTCTTACTTGTCACTAACTTAACAATCTCCTTATTAAAGACCAACCAAAATCCCCAGCCTAACACAAAAAAACAGTTTCTACTTAAGTGAATAAACTTGACTCACAAGAACATTGAGTACAGCTGTCTGGCCACATGCTGACACAGCTATCTGCTTGAACTGCATGACGTAGGCTTCATACTCATTCCAGATCATTACTTTGTCCACCTTCAGACGCTCTGTCTTCGAACCCTGGCCACCAGAGGCTACATCCTCCTTCTCGTCACCCTCATCATCAAGAGCATTCAGGGGCTGTAATAAAAAGCCAATCTATAAAACACAAATTAATGATCTACGAGTGGCATCTAAGTGTTACGCGCATTCACTTCTTTGTTAACCTTCTCAACCCTGATAAAAGGTAAACGGGTCAGGAAGGTGAGCAGAAATAGTCATCAAATGGGGAATGTCAAGGACTTTGTCTTACCTATTTTCAGTTGAGCACAAGGCACTGCAAAGCTTTGGATGAAAATTTAAGGACAGCTTTAGATTTGTCAGGATCAATGGACGAAAAACATACTATTGTGCGTATTTTGATTAGCACATGCACAAGACACCAATCTTAAATGCAGTTTATTTCTTTCTAATTACATGAAAAAAGATATTTAAAAATTAAAGTCTGTCAACCAACCTGTCTCTGGACATCAACGCCATCTTTGTCAAAGAATCTCATACACGTCTCAGTGGTGCTGACTGTCTTGATGAGTTCATAGAACTCTTTGCTAGGCTGAAAACACAGGACAATTTATCACTACTAAGTTATGTCATGAAAGGAACAAACAAACTTGATCATAAGTTAGAAAAAAACCCAGAACAAAACCAAAAAGAAAATTTTAGGACTTGCTTTTCACAAAACATAACTTTAAAAAAGGTCTTTTTAAAACAAAACAAAGCAAACAAACAACATAAAAGAACCTGATGCCAACAGACACTGGAATAGGCCCTGAGGTCTAAGCTCTCTAGAGAGTCATAATTATAAAGCCCTTGTATCTGATTCAAAAGGACAATGTAAAACATTCTAGATGAACATAAAATTTAACCTGATGCCAACAGACACTGGAATAGGCCCTGAGGTCTAAGCTCTCTAGAGAGTCATAAAGCCCTGGTATCTGATTCAAAAGGAAAATGTCTTACATGGCAAATAACTAAAGCAACAAAGAATAAATGAGAAAAATTCTTATACAAATTTTAGACCAAATGAAAATATGCTGCAAGGCTGCTTATAAATTATTCAGTTGTCCACAGTGTATTAACCTATTATGTGGGTCAATCCCTGACCTCTTCAAGAATAGCAACATTATTGCTTCAAATAATAATCATGAAAAGATAGAAGGTCAAGATAAGGAAGGTCTGAAAACTAAAATTTAGTTTAGTTTAGTTTTAGTAAGAGTTTTACGGCACTCGCAACTGCATAAGGTCATATGAGCGCCAGAAGATTAGAGGTGTTATTGGAGAGTAACAAACATAAAAAAGAAGAAGGGGAGATAAGGGCAATAGATGTTTGATAAGAAAGAAGGAGCAAACCACACCAGAGCACCCGCCAACCACCCACAAAACTAAAATACCTTCAGGTCCAACAGACTAGTGTTATTTGAAATACCTTGCCATTGGTGTTTTACTTAAAATCAATGTAAGTTAAAACCGTGCACATTACTCGAGACTGTCCTCAAGATGAAAAAGAAAGATATGGCAGTGAAGCCACAAATAATATGCAGCACCTTAAGTGACACAAAAATAGCCTAACGCAGTACTAATTGCGGCCTAATAAACGACATGCAATGTCATCACAGTAAAACTAAATGTAAACAAATACAGCCAAAACACCACCTCATCTGCGTCTTGTTACAGGAATGCCTGCCTAATAGAGTAACTCCACACAATATTGACCAAACAAACACCTGAGGAGGAGTGGTGGAGACAACAAGGACAGGACAGATGACAAGTAACTCGTGTAACAGCTTACCATTCCACTGCCCAGAGGGTTCTCATCTTGGGACAGAAGGTGAGGATGGTCCTCAAACCTGGCAGAGAAAAGAAACAATGTATATTACTAATCCTACTATCAATGCTCTTATTCTGGATCTTTCACCAGACAACTTTTAGTTTAGTTTTAGTAGAGGTTTTACGGCTCTCGCAACTGCATAAGGTCATATGAGCGCCAAGGGGTGGATGCCAACAGGGAAGTCTATACAGCGAATCAGGCTTACTCTGCTCACCTGTCTAGCTGCTAGCTTCAACGGCACAAAGTCTGCTTCGACTATCAAGGCACCCCGGAAATAGAAGGTCACAAGAGAGTGACAAACATACAAAAGAAGTAGTAGTGGAAAAATGACGATAGTAAGGATTAGGAAAGAAAATGCAGTAGTTCCTTGTCGCAGTCCAGGCACAGTTATGAGCATGACATTGATGAATCAGCCCATTTACAATTCAACTGTGCATAAGAACATGTTAATGTCCCCCCCCTTTGGGAATGGCCTAAAGACACTTCAGTCAGTAGCACCGCCCCAGGGGTTCAAGACAACTCTGTGTCTAGCTGAGTTATGATATTTGCAGTCTCAGTCATGCAAATGGCACAAGAGGCCCTCTACTCTTGCATCAGAATGAAATGCAACACAAGACAGACAAGGCAATACAAAAACGCAGGTAAAAAAAAAGGGTTGTCTATGAAAAGAAGCACAACTCAAGCTGCAGATGGCATACATACAGCAAGATTGAAAATCAAATAGCAGTGGATTATGCCTGTTGAAGCATTACATGTGGCCACTTGTCACAGTTTAGCTATAAGCCGTTTGAGCAGCATTGAGGTGAAATCAGACACCCATCAGAATTTAAACGAAATCAAAGGAATCAACAGTTTTCATAATATAATTTTTATCAGGGGTTTTTTTTTGTGTGAGCTCAAAACCTTATACGGTTCCTTTTAAAAGCACATTTCTGTGGGGATTTTTCTGAAAATGTTGATGAAATGCAGAAAACCCAAGCTTTGGATGCTATGAAACTTAGACAACCAGGTGGCGCCCACCTCCTTCAATTTCAATTATTTGGACTTCTTTTCAAGACAATCAGTATTATTTTTTTAAAATCAAAAGCAAGGCAAATAAAAACAAGCTTTAAGATTATGCTGGTCCAATAAATCCATATGCCCCAAAATTGAGGAGCCCCTGACCGTTGTGTGCATGCTAGACTATATCATCATTGTGTTGCACAGAAGAATGAACTAACCCATGCGGCACATTTGTAGGTCTCCCACTGCCCAAACCTCCAGCAAAATGCGCAGAGTTGCCAAAGTGCTGCTCGTACAGGTCGTCTCCATCCTGGCTCCCACCAATAACCCCACCACCAGCACAGAGGCCACCCAGGTGAACAGGCTCGATCTCCTCCTCCATAGGCAACAACACCATGTCCACATTGTCACCCAGCTCAGAACTGAGATGAGATCAAACAAAACATATGTTTGACTACAAGTGAAATGTCAAATTGAAGAAGATGACAACAACAAAAAAGCAGGAGGGCATTACACACAACCATTTATATTTTTTTTTATAATCTTGACACTATTCCAAGAATTCCCATCAGTCTAGCCCAAGATAGGCGGAGGAGTCGAAAGTGTTTGTTAGTGCCCTTTACTCTGATCCAGGGTGAGAAAGACAATGTTGAGGTTAACGCTGACATACAATTTCGTGACACTATCAAGAGGTATCAATGACATTTTGATAAAGTGTCTAACAGGAGTAACTGAGACCTGAAGAGAGAGAAAGGGGGAAAAATAAAATAAAAAGAGTTTAAAAGTTTGAACTCAAACCCTTCAGCCTTCAATGGCAAAACTGAGGCAAAAAACAAATTATAAGTATGTACAATATTATAATAGGAAGCTGTTTCCTCAACATACCAGAGAACAAGCCAGATCTATGAGAAAAAAAAAATCATGAACTTTTCGAACCCTGTGGAAACGCCTGCTCAAAATTTATGAGGATCATATTTTCTAATACACCATGTATTGTATTAATTGCAAAGTCAGGCAAAATTCAGATTTCCAAACTTTTCCGAAAAGTACACTTACATGTATCATGTCTATCATGAGACTTACAACTTACAGGCTTGCCAAATTATTCAAAACCCAACCAGGGACACCCAACATTATAACATCAGATTATGTAGAAACCAACACAATTGCATCAGGTGGAACTGCTTTTGGTGCAGCCGAATGTCTTCTCATATTCATAAAATAAGAAAACTAAGCAAACAAAGTAAAAGGACATACTACAAAATTAAATTCCTTCTTAAATTCAAATTACCACAAAGGATCTTCTGATCCACCACTGGAATTACTGCCCTTGTCTTTCTTTTTTCCCGACAGACTAGATCCATCCTGCTGAAGAAAGGAAAAAGGATGAAAATTATATAATAATACAAGACTTAATTTAATATATCGAAAAAATTATTTTTAGTTAATAGAACCTTACCATAATGACAAGGACTACAAACATCGGCAATGACCAAAAAAATTAACAATTTTAGAACCACTTCACTCTGTGGACTTCACCTGAAGTTTGACATCAGATGAAGTGAAATGAAAAGCCATGATGCTTATCAGCTCATTACAAAGACTATTTTCATTTAATAAAAATGTATAAACAGACTTCGAAGCGTCTTTCTCATGTGTGAGGCAGAGAAGAAGATGGGAGGAAAACATTACAGAGTGGACAGGAAAGACGATGGGTGACAATCTGAGGAAAGCAGAGGACAAAGATAGATGGCGAGAGCTGGTTTTCAGATGCAGTGGTGCCCCCACGGTTGCCCCAACTACAGGACATATATATGGTCAAAATCAAATATGACAGCCACCCACTGTCAATGAGAAGAGTAGCCATCTTAGACAGACAATATATATTGGACAGTGTCATAATAAAAATATAATGTAAGCCGGTAAGCAGGAAGTGGTTATTTGCACAAAGGAGATTACTTGGAACAGGTGGCTTTTAGAGCAGGTTCAATCTCTACTTTCACTTTCTGCCCGCCCTTCCACACATTTATCCAAAATACAACTATAATACCATGAGTCATACAGTTATTTAAACCACCACATTGTTATCTCTTTACGGAGCAAAAACAAAAATCATTTCACTCTCATTCCATGATTCAGTGTGCCAACCCTTCTTTTTCCTGGACTATAGTTTTATTCAAATTCCTCTCTAAAAATGCTCTCTTCCCTGAAGTAGCGAAAGGTAATTAATGTTCTATTATTACTGTGTAGCCAATTAATCTCAATCCCTGAAAAAACTGAACTCACCTCTTCAAAATCACCAGAAGAGGCAGAATGACACTCAGATCCTTCATCTACCTTAGTATCAATGGGAAACTTCACAAACACTTTCTGGTGACGATTGCTCTCATCATTACTAAAGTTGGCACGTGGACTGTCGCTGTTAAAGCCATTAGCGACATGACTATGACTATGGTGGCAAAAAATGTTAAGGTCATTTACGTTGGTCAGTCGTGGGTGGGGATTCGAAGAAGGGCAGCAAGCACCTCCATCTGCTGCAGTTGACGGGCTCCCTGAGTCTGGGTTGGCTATGTGGCCATGACCATGGGAACACAGTTCACTGCTCGCTGTCAGGGCTGCGTGACCTCGACACGGGCTGGGGTGGCCATGGCTGCCGCTTCTGTTACTACGGCTCTTGTCCTCGCCTCGACCACTGATTGAGTATGGACAGAACAGATTCGAGTGGAAGCACTGAGAGGATGGGGAGGAAGGAGGGAGCTCGCAGTCAGCTCCTGGGAAACACACAGAAGCCAGGGAATCTCCATCAACGTACAGCTGTGACGCTGCCGCTCCGTCAACAACAGAGTCCTCGCAGCCGTGAGGTGCACCAACTCCCAGACAGAGATCTGGCAAGCCTGGATGTAAAGGAGCATGGTCACCATTTTCACTTTCACTACTGCTACAAAGTGCATCGTCTTTAGCACTCTTCCGAGGAGGTGTCAATCGGCCAACATTGTGACTGGCACCACATATATGCTCATCTCCAAGAGAACGAAAGAGTTTTTCCTGAGTAGCTGAACACTGTTTATGACTAGACAATAACTTACCAGAATTGTCATCACAAATTAATAGATCTTCAAACTCATTTTGGACTTTATTTCCAATGGAAGAAAGATCATTGCAATTGAAATCTGATCCACATTTCTTTCTTCCTAAAAATTTCTCATCTTGATCCTCTTCATCGTGATCACTGCTGGAAGAATTATTATCCATCTCATCAGAACTAGAAAGGAGATGTTTATTATGAGAAGGCAAGTCAGTGTCAATAAAGTCCCCAGTGTCCTCTCCATCCTCAAAGTTCTCTACATTTCCCTCATTTCTCTCAGCAGGTTCACGATGACAGTTTGGACCATTCCAACTGCATAGACCACTACTTGTCTCTTGAGTTTTGCAAGATTTAGAAGGATCTTTGCCATGAGCATAAGAACCTAACTTTAAAGAAAGTGAGTTCATATCTGCCTGGGGAAATAAACCCACAGCACTTGTTCTTCCTGCAATATGATCTGTTCTAAAGGTATACTCACAATTATCCAACTCAGAATCTTCATCATCTGAAGATACACTGCAAACCCCATTTTCTGAACGTCCAGGATGAAAATCAGATTCTGAATCTTCAAGATCTTCAAAGCACTGTCCGTTGACTCGAGAATACTCTTGGCTCTGGAACATCCGGTCTAAATCACAGATAGCACCTTCATCAATCAAATTGTTATCCAGACCAGTCATGGGGTTGGGGTTGGGGTCTGGTAACGGATTACTGTTAGCGTGAGAAGTGTCTACTCCTCCAACAGCTCCTTCCAAAGCAGAATCAATTGAATTTGTTTCACACACTGAATCAATTTTGCATGCACTAGAGTTCCCAGCACCACCAGACACAAGTGCTGTCTCATATATCTCAGAATCAGCTTTGTTTTCAGTAGGAGTATCTCGGCGCTCACAACCACTCAGATTGCGTGGGGTTGTCATATTATCAGATGTATCAGTCTTTGAGGGAACATTTGAAGAATTGTTAGAGTTCTTCTTCCCCTTGTAATGGTATCTTTTCACACCACCATACTTCCCTGTTTTTGGGCGAGCACCTTGATCATTTCGATGATAGCCGTTATCCCCCCTTGAAGTGTCACAACCATCTGAATTGGACCTGCCCCACTGTCGATCTTGGTGGACATTGTATCCCCCTCGTGCATGCGCATGCTCTCTGACAAAATATGCAGGCTGGCGGTGCTCTACACCGGGGTGACCTCTTGGGGGGAAATGATGAGGGAACACTCCCATTCTAAACGGGCCACTATTATTTCCAAATGGCCGATGTTGCATAAAAACCTGATGTCCTGGGAACTGTGGACCATGGTTGTTCCTAAAATTGTGTGGGGGAGGGTATCCTCTTTGGTGCCAATACATGAATGGTTTTGCTGGAAGATTAGCCATGCCTGAAGGTTGAAAAGGGAGTTGTGCCAATGAATCACCTGGTGCACATCCCCTTTGACTTTGATTTAATTCATATCCAGGCCGTCTTTTCTTGGCATAGCCACCACCTTTGTCTCGCCTACCGTTTCCTTGACTCATATTTGTAACCTTTTTCTCAGGGAGAATGAAGAATCAATACAGCAAAACTCGTCCACATGGAAATCTGAAAGAAAAAAACAAAAATGCAGACAAGTTGAGACAAAACAAAAAAGGAAAACAAGCTTGCTTTTAAAATGCTTTATGTTGTTCCTTGAACAAATCTTGAAAAAAAAACAACAGTTGTGTGAAATTTGTGGAACAGCGGCAGTGAGGTCAGTGTAAAAGACAATGGTGGTAACTTGAGACTTGAGGGTAATACCAAAACTTCCTACATTTTCGTAGCTCTTAGTGCTGAAAAATTAAATATATATGACATACTAATTTATAAGAGCTTTTATTCATGGTCTTTTCCTAACGATATTCCTCTGATGACAAGAAGTTCAATATATAACCAAGTTTTGATAACAGTAAACTACTATGTATTGACTTTTATCTTTTACCCATTTTTTTTTTTCCAATTCTTTATCTACATATAACAAATTATCATTTACTCCTGAAAAATATAAAATAAGCAAGCATTGAAACAGACATACAAAACAGAGAAGTACAGAATCCAATAACAATAGAGAAAGCCGTTTTCAGGACTATAAAAAGACAAGACATTATTGAAATCTAGATTTCATAGTGATGGCTCGTCACGGATGTCTTTCAGAAAATAACTGTCAGTCACTGTGTCAATACATGATTCTCATGTTCAGTGTCTAAGATAACTTTTTTTTTACAGATTAACAGCGATGCCTCACATTCACATATATTCAGTTTTGGTAGGACTAATTCATTTTGAATTTTGCCTGAGTGATGGCCAATCTTACTCACATCTTACCGATTTTAGGACCACCAAAGGATCTTTAAATGTGAGCAACTTGAACACAGGACCTTTACGATTTTTCACCCTTACCCCAAGAGGACTAAATGTATGATCTTAAACTTGCCCTAAGATAAGGGGTGTGGTTAAAGACAGAACACAAGGAGCCAGGAGAAGCAGTGTACAGGCAGGGTTCCTACAAAGGGTCAGGACAAAGAAGCCCAGAGGCCAGGGGGTGGGTGGACCAGGGAAGAAAATCGAGATGAAATTCCATTGATAGTGATAGAACATGTTAGGAGAAGAGGAAAGGTGCATGGGCTTTCGGTTAGTATAACAACATCGATGGTCGTATCCATTATTGTGGGAGTAATAGGGCCTTTCTAACTGCCTAACCCTAACCCAAAGAGTTGCTCTAACCTTAAACCTAGAACTAACCCTAATTCTAATCAGGGGGGCAAGCACCCCCCCCCTCCCCCCAACCCTAATCAGGGGGGCAAGCACCCCCCCGCTAAATGGAAATTATTATATACAGTTTAACCCTCTCGCGTAAAATACAGGAGAAACCGGGACTAAAAATCAGCAGCGTCTTAAGTCTAACCCAGGAGAAACTGGGAGCGATTTCAACAGGGTTATGCGGTCAGCCCTGAAGAAATCGGGACAGCACTCCTCCTTGGACTCTATTTAACTCTTTAAACCACAATGAACTACTTCATGCATTTAAAAATAAAATAGCCATGTCATCTAGGATTACAAAACGCCTCAGGTTAAATTTCCGGTAACACGCTAGAGGGGAGAACGTTTTGTGCGCCTTTCGAAACACTTGTGCTTTTCTAGTTTCGTGACTCTGACGATCAGCTGTTCCGACCGACGCTCTGCCAAAATAATATACTAAAGTTTAAAAATCCATAAATAAATAAAAAGTTATTGGGATTTTTGTTTGCAAAATGTTGGAGGACCTATATAGAAAAATATCGCCAAAATGTGGGACATGTCTTGATGTATTTTAAGGAAAAACTGTTCATAAGTCAGTAATGAATTAGAGAATATGAATGAAACAAGGCATCTTCATGCGATTTTTAGTGCAGAATCTAGTTCTGCTATCACTTTTTCGATGTCTTTATTATTTTGGATCTTAAATACTGATATTTGCGTGAAATTTGTTGAATTGTGTGACTTCATTTTTACAGCGACGCGATCACCCCTTCTAAAACTCAGTAAAGCACTTCGGGAAAACCCGTGATGAAGTCATCACAGTGACCTATTTAGTTATAGGCAGCCAATCACATGCCGCCTAGCGATCACGCGCTCTTGCATGCCGGCACCTCGCGTTTGGAATGCGTGATCTAGTTTCCAACTCTAGTGTTTTATCAATGGATGGGTGGTAATTTTAAGTTGGTACGTAAAATGTACTAAACGCAGAGATCTGAAATTTTACAGCAATAAAGAAAACATGTGGGGCGCCTGTGTGGTCGGCGATCAACCCGCAGCTCCGCTTAGTTTTCGAACTGCAGAGGAAATTCGCACAAACAAGGCAATATCTCCGGTTCTAGAAATCGTTTGGGATTTACAATGGCATGTCGTTAGTTTAACTTTTCCTCTGATGGGTTGCCGAGTTTCATTTATTTTCGTCTACGAGTTTTCCTGTAACTATACTTAGAAGAGAGTCACTTCTGATTCCGAGCGGCCCAAAAATTACCCCTCAGGCGGAGGTCGATTTCCGGCCCAAGGCGCAGCGGGCAATTGGTATTGCTACATTAAAGAGGAAAGACAGATCGTATTACCCTCTCGACGTTGAAATCATAGCTGCCACTCAGGAATTTCAAAAAAGGAGGAAATTCACGCGAAGGCGTCCGCGCTCTCTCCGAAAGCCGGAGTAAAACCAGTGAAATCCAGATCCAATATATAGTGAACATCTGTGTTTTTGGTAGGGAAAAGTGTCATAATATGTTAACTATAGTAGGTACCAGAAACTAAATTTTCAAAGTAGTTGTATGCCAAATTTATCAGTTCCATTTGAAAGGCCTATATCCACTGAGCATTTTGGTACCATTCTTTAACCTCTCAGTCAATTTTTAAGAAAATGGTAGCTGTTTAAAATTTGATCAAATTTGTTAAAGTCAGTCACTGGCTGCAACCCCATGTTTGACAGACAATAAAAGAGTACCAAGAGCACTAAACATCTCCACATTAACAGAGTATAATCACTATAACAAATATATGGAGCCTAATTTTTTTCAAGACTGTCAGATCAGTACAAATCAGTACTTTATCGCCTCAAACACGATGATCTGTCGTTATTTCGACAAAAACACCGAGCGTTGACCCGGCCGGCGCCGCACCGGGCCCCGCGGCGAGCGAGTCGGCTCTATACTGTAGTGTACCCCACGTGCGGGGTCACATGCTTTCTGAGTCTCGCGGAAGGATTGATGAAAAATAATTCCAAGCTGATTACTTTATTCTAATAGGAAATAAGCTGATCTTTTATTAAATATATTTTTAAAGTGATCTTTAAACATTTTGACAGTATTTTAAAAAGCTTTCTATTTAGACGTCAAAGGCAAAACACATACCACGGGAAAGCCCATGTAAAGCTCTACAGTTCTCCGCCAATGAAAAAACGGTATTTAATCATTCCTCGTTCCGCGAAGCATTTGAATGCACCCGTGTCAATTTTTCAACCGGCCGACCACGCATTCCGACCGCGAGGGGCTTCGCTTTCATCGGCGATTCTCCAGCTCCTAATAATCGGACATATAAACAACTTACACCATTGTAACGAGGAAAAGCTGAACTTTTACAAGGTGTACGGCACTTAGTGTTTTATAGCGAAAGAGCAAAGAAACAGCGATCGGAATTACCCCGATTTCACCGATACCACGCGGTCGGAAGGCCGCGAGTGCCCGCGAGGCCGTGTTTACGCTACCTAACTATAGGCAACTGAATTAAAATGCATTTGCAACAACAACAACAAAATCAAAGACACTAAGTTAACTAAAAAGCATTTGACCCAGTTTGGTGACTAAAAATCCAATGTTTGCAATCTAGTGTCTCATAAAAAGATTTCTTTCACTTTAGACTGAGCAACAATGTTGAGCAGTACCGGATTAAGGAGGCAACACCTTTTCCACTGTAGTACAAAATTGCCTTTCTTGTTAATTGTTTACTTTCTCGCATTTAATTCCGGGGGAGGACTTCGTAGCGAGCGACTACTCTGAACTCTATGAATGTTTTACTCAACGAGTCCCTTTACTCAATGGCCATCAAAATCAGTACGGAAGGCCGAAAGCCAGTATGTTACTAGATCTAGATATCTACCTACAAAGGATGAAATTGCAGTAGTTTACGTATTTTTAACTCCAGCGCAAAGTGTTGAATATCCTGTCGGGGATGCATAGAGTTTCGTCTATATCTAGATCTAGAAAATCTAGGCGCGGCCGGGATTAAACGCGAGAAAGTAAAAATGCAATTGCCTTCTTAATTATCGCACCAAACGCAAAGTGCAGCACTCGGCTTGTTCAATTCTCAAATGAAATTAGAAAGCACATTGTATGCCTCTTTCTAAATCCAGCTCCATTTATTTTTGCATTCTGCATCCATTTCTCTCGAATCTCCGCCGTTTTTAAAAATAACTCGGCGCGCCATCGTCCCGATACTCGATCGACAGTCCACAACAATAAACAATGTGAAACTAGGCACAGAACAGAAGTAGAAAGCTACGGGTGGACATGCGAAAGCCGCTTTTTCGTCTCACTCCCGGTTCGGCGATTTCCACGTGTAAAAAAAAAGTATCGCGATTTGCAACCGAGAGCAGTCCAGCGGGGGAAGGAGGAAAGTAGCAGGAAAAGCTAGATGAAGCATAGTTTCTCCTATTTAATATCGGGAAAGTGGCAGCTATGCCAAGCTCCTTTTAGTTTTCGGTACACCCGACACGAAAGTGTTCCCGACACCAAAAGTATAGGTTAATTTATGAGTTCGAACTTCAACTTACACATATCATTAGTTTGCCCTATTTTCTGATTGGTTGCCGAGTCTCATTCACTCTGGATCGAAATAGAGCAGATCGACGTTGAGAAAGTTAGTCACCTACGCTATGACCCGGTCCAAAATTTCACCCGCAAACGAGGACCAAATTTTAGCTGCGCGGGAAAGCCAGATTGACACTGCCAACTTCATTTGCAGCTCAGCATCCTATTTCAAGAGTACAATCTCTTGTAAGTAAGTGCTTAATTTATTGTGCTTATAAAACTTTAAAAGAAATGATCCGGATCGAAACGATCGATCATTTGCACTGCGTCGTTGAACTTTGGATTAACTTGCTTTCGTATCCAAATTGACATAGAGGCCTTCTCCAAAAAGACTTCTTCTTCTCAGTTTACGTAGAGTAACTAAAAATCTAGATCTAATATCTAGACCTACATCTAGATCTAGAGATTCTAGACAGTGTTTCCAATATTCCACGAGCTGAAATTTTTTAATTTTTTGTCAGACCTCATCTGCCGATCTGATGCCAGCCGCCTCATTGGTGGTGTTCCCCTCCTCATGCCTCATGTAAAAAAAAACAATTAGATCTAAGTACAAGTCTAGATCTAGAGATATAGATCTCTAGACTCTAGATTCTAGATAGATAGATCTAGAAATGTGTTGCGTTGAAATCGTGCTGTAAAAATATTTAAGCTTAATCTACCTCCTTCTGTTGATAGTTCTGATGGCCGAAATGACAGCGTGTCTGCGTTTGAAGAAGTATTATATTATTTATATGAATGTGGGTTCGAATCCCGGTCCCGGAAGTTGTTGTTTTTTTCTTCTTTCTCTCCCTCCCCCGACTCACCAACAATTTTTTTCTCATTATAATTGTTTGTTTTGACTTCAAAGATTTCCACACTCATGATTTTGTGTAAAAACAAAGAAACATATATATATAGATCTAGATCTAGTCATAATTATAGATCTACTTATTATATTTTAGTACTAGAAGTATAGATCTAACCTACTTTTCCTTTTAGTTTTAGGCCTACCAATTTAGGCCTGGTTAAAGTTATTACATTGATGCTCAACCCAGGGGAGAACCAACTGGATGACTAGATCTAGTGATCTATGCTTATTTTTACGGTAACAACCTCCAAAATTTGAATAATTATGAATTATAACTCTGTCTGGTTATTAGTACAATTGTACCAAAAAAAGGTTAGAGTTGTACGCACTATTGTACCAATAACCGCAGCCAGACAGAAAGACTGAGACAAACAAAGAAATAGAGAATGTGAGCGATACACAGAGACAGAGGAGAGAGAGAGAGAGAAATAGATCTAGAGAGGGTGACAGCTCGATCGTAACTATGACATTGTATTGTTCTTTTCTTCAAATTGTGATTCCTCCAACTCCAAAACGGAGGAAAAACAATCATTCATCGAAAAGATATATCCGCAATCTTCATTTAGATCTAGATTGTACTTTACCGGACCACCGGTCGGAACTACTTTCGCTATGGCGCCCCTGGTGCCTAGTGGCCCGCTATTCTTTGTTTCCGAGCTCCCCTACTCACTCTCCTACTCAGTTTTCTACGTCCTCACTCTTCAACTGCCAGCAATCGACTGACGTCTCTTACCGGGTTTTTCAGTCATCACGACCGTGCCACCGTGCCCTTTGACCCATGACCCTGACATCTTGAGGCTAACTGGTCAATCTAATCACGTGGTCCACTATTCTTATTTGCTTGCAACTCTGCTGGCCTGGCCTAGGCCTACTCCTGGTCCGGCAAAGTACAATGGAGTGCTAAAGATGCACACGAGAGCTCATTTGCATAATTGCAACCCCCTCGGCCCTGCTCGCGACTTGGCGAGTATCTATCCCGATTGTCCGCTCATGTTATTGTTTATAATATATGTGTGTGTGAGTGTCTTTAAATT